CCGCCAAAATGGTCCACCAGATCCTGCACCGTCTTCTCGAAAAGGGCGTCAACTTGCAAGCCAACACGCCCGTGAGCAGCATCTCCGAGACGCCAGACGCAGACGGCAGGTGGACGGTGCAGACCCCCCGCGGCGCCATCACGGCCGGCAAAGTCGTCGTCGCGACCAACGGCTACACGGCGCAGGTCCTCCCGCAGTACGAAGACCGCATCGTGCCCGTCCGCGGCATCTGCAGCCGCATCACGTCGCCCAAGGGCGCGCGCACGCCGCACCTGGTCAACACGTATGGCATCCGCTTCGACGCCGTGAACAACGATTACCTCATCCCGCGGGCGGACGGGAGCATCGTCGTGGGCGGGGCGCCGTACTTTAACGGTTACATGCAGAGGCTATTCCGGGGCTGGGAGGATAGCGGGGCTGAGGTCGATCGGGTGTGGACTGGCAGTGAGTGTGCATGGCATTCCATCCCCCGTGTGTCCGAATGAGGCAGGTGATTGTTGACAAGTGAATGCGACAGTTATGGGGTACAGCTCCGACTTCATGCCGCATCTCGGTGCGGTGCCAGCCAAACCCGGGCAGTTCATCATCGCTGGGTTCTCGGGTCACGGTATGCCTGAGATTCTCCTGTCCAGCAAGGGGGTTGCGGCCATGGTAACGGATGGGGTTGCGTTCGCGGAGACGGGTTTGCCCAGCATCATGGAGACGTCAGAGGCGAGAATCTCGCGCAAGGACAGCCCGCTGGAGGAGGGATTGAAGTCGGTTTGGGAGGAGGGAGAGGTCAGGGCGAAGCTGTAATGGGGGTTGATGAGGAGATAAGAATGATGTATGGATATGCACAGGCTGGGTGCATGAGCGTGACAGGGAGTAGCTGGCCTGTCACTGTTCGTGGGGTACCTATCCGGGGGTTAATGAAGTTTGCTCATGCATCTATCGTCAGGCAGAGTGCGATCTGGAATGTAAAATAGAGGAAAAAGAGGCACGAGTCAGCATCTCCAGATACTTACTACCTTGGAAGTGTGTGCGGATAGGCACAGGGATGCGTGTTCGGCTCCGACCGGGTGCATGCCGGCTTCCCCGCGTCCTGTCAGCAGAAAAGAGTGGGCCCCCGAAGCCCCCGACCGCGGCGCAGGTTTCGCCGAAATTCAGCCCCTCTCTCCCCTCTCAGGAAAGGCGCGGGACTTCATCCAGCTCCAGCCTATCTTAGCTCTCCTCACACATGATCTTGGAGCCGGCCAACAAATCCTCCCTTTACCCACCCGCATACCTTGCTCACATCCGCACGCACGCCAGCCGCACACCGCGAACTCTACCTGCCTTACCTTACCTAGTTGCAAGGGAGAGCGACTCAATGCGTTGTCTGTGAGGCCGAGACCAGACCTGTCTCCCTCCCTCCATTCTCCGCCACTGCACACAAGCATTCCGTTTCCGGGGGTCTTGAGTTACACGCGCCGCCCGCCCCCCGAGACCTGGAACCGCGAACCGGCCCGGGAGCCTTGCCTTTGCGCTGGCTGATCGGCGTGCGGCTCCCTATCTGGCCTTGCCTTGACTTTTCCGCCGCCGCCGTCTTTCTCACACCCCTTATCGGCTATCGCGACCCGAACGTCGATGGATCCCGACGACGGTCTGCGTCTGCAACGACACAAGCAGCGCCGCGTCGCGGATAAGGAGCGAAAGCGGGCTGTTCGAGCGTACGATGAGGCCCTCCCCTTCCCCTTCCCCAGTCCCCTAGTCCCTCACTCTAAGCCCATCTACCTCCCCCAACTCTCACAGCTCCTCGCCGTCATCGTGGCCCCGTGAAAAGTGCCTTCCATGCTGACGCGACCAAGCTGCGACGGATGCCGGAGACTCAAGGAGAAATGCGACGGCGGAGTCCCCTGCCGGCGGTGCACCCGCCTCCGCCGGCAGTGTGAGTTTCTCACGCCCACCACCAGAGAAGAGCCTGGCGCTGAGAGTGCGGCAAGGTAAACTAAACTTTCTTTTTGTAATCCACGCTTTGTCATGAATCGCGAGATGCCATGAATCTCCATCAAGTGCTTCAACATGTGGCTGACGAGGCCACCGTTTGGCGGATATCAATAGACCCCGCCCGTCGCACCAGGAGGACTCGGAGTTGAGGCAGCGCATGGCCTATATGGAGCGTCTGCTTGCCCACTACACCGGCCAGAGTAGACTCGATGCCGAGACCTTAAAGACCTTGGCCGATTCCGTAGAGAAAGGACGAGCCGGCCCGGAAGCCCCGGGACCTCAACCAGATCCGGACGCTACCATGGACCCGGACATCGGCGCCGAGGTCGAGGTCAAGTCCCAAAGCTCCGATTCGTTCCAGGTGGATGAGATTACCGTGCAGCCATTGGAGAATAACATCACCCGTAAGATGAGCCCCGGACATGAGGTTCATGGCGCCCCCGGAACTGACTGTGGCTAGACTACTCCGGCGAGTTCTCACATTGGAACTTTTCCATGCGGATAAAGCAATGGATAGAGCAGTGTGTAAATGTATGTCCCCCTCGGCATTGACTTGGATCACAAAAGGCTTACATCATTCAGGATACCCCAGACGGTCCCAAGACACAGTTCAAGGAGTACTACCGCCCCGAGGAGCTGCAGTCAACATCCAACACTGTCGCTTCGCTCTCATCACTACCTCCGCGCTACGTGGCTGACTTCCTCGTCCACGCGTTCTTCAACCATGCCGAGACCAGCTACTTCTATGTTGAGCGGCACTGGTTGCAAGAGAAGTTGGATGTCGTGTATGAGAACCCGGGATCCCTCACACGTCGAGATGTTGGGACTATGTGCATCATCCTAATCGTCTTCGCCATCGGCACACAATATGCGTATCTCGACTCGCGCGATGAGAGGGGCAGGGTGCCGACTGCCCCTGCCGAGTCGAGCCCGTTCTCGGAGGACACCATTGGCATCATGTTCTACCAGCAGGCGTGTAGGCTTGTGCCAGACGTCATCACGATATCCAGCCTGGAGAGTGTGCAAGCTTGCCTGCTCATCGGCCTCTACACCCTGCCTCTTGATGCATCCGGACTGTCATACGTGTACCTCAACCTTGCCGTGAAGCTTGCCATACAGAACGGCATGCACCGCAAGTATCCAGGAGACCTCATTGACCCCGTCATCCGCGAGACGAGGAACCGCGTGTGGTGGACGGCCTACACAACAGAGAAGTAAGCTAGGCGTTCATAAAACCTTCGGTTGCGGTGGTACTAACGAATCCTAGGCGCATCGGCATATTCCACGGCCGACCACTCTCCATTGCCGCCGCAGATGTCGATGCCGAGATGCCAGTCGACCGCCCAAACATCTGGGCCGGCTCACCACCACCAAACACCGCACACATGCTAGCCACCCTCCAGCTAAACCAAGCATTAAGCCGGATCAACCATCAGATGTAAGCACTCGCACCTGCTTATCGCCCCTCACAGCTAACAACCCTCCAGCTCCCTCTTCAAGACCTTTGAAAAGCACGAAATCCCAGACGGCATAACCAAACTAGTCGAGATGAAGGCGCAGCTGCACACCTGGTGGAACAACCTCCCAGAAACAACCTTCTGCAAAGACCCGAGCCCCGGATCCGCCGTCTTCCGCCCCGACATGCATCTCCGCCTCGAATACTGCCTCGTTCGCATGTTCGCCGGCCGCCCCTTCATCTTCCCCCGCGAATCCACCCGCAGCACCGCCTCCTCCTCCGGCTCGCCCGCCGACTCCGCCGTACCCCCGCGCACCGGCTCCGCCGCCGCCGCCGCCGGCAAAGCCCACCCGCGCTCCGTCCTCGTCGCAGACTGCGTCGACGCCGCCCTCTGCGTCGTCGAGACCTGCCGCCTCCTCCGCAACAGCATCGGCCTCGCCCGCGCCTCCTACACCGAGTTCTCCTCCTGCCGCGCCGCCCTCCTCGTCATCATCACCCAGTGCCTCCAGAAGAAGACCGACCGCCTGCGCGAGGCCCTCCGCGACGGCCTCGCTATGCTCAAGGAGATGTCCACCGGCGGCGAGTCCGCAAAGTCCGAGATGTCCCTCATCGAGGCCTTCGAGCGCGCCATCTCCCGCCTCGACGCCAACGACGACGCCGCGAGCTCGTCCGCCAAGGAGTCCGACTATGCGAGGTTCAAGAAGTGGGAGATGCTGTGGAAGACGGACACGCCTGCGCACGACGCGCGTAGCGAGCGGAGCCACGACGCGGGACTGCCGATCCCGCCGCACCCCGCGGCATTCTGGCGGACCGGCGGCGGCCACGGGCATGGTGGTGGTAGCGGCGGCGGCGGCGGTCATGTGGCGCCTGGGACCGGGAGGCAGGGGACGGCGTCGCTGCCGCCGGCGATGCCGTTCTTCGGGCTCGACGGGAGCCTGTCGCCGATGCCGCCGGCGCTGGATGAGTTTTCAGCCATGTTTGGGAATGGGTACGTGCCGGGGTTTGAAGGCATGGGCGGGAGCGTGAACGGGAACTGGATGGGTCTGTAAAGCGAGAAGAAATACATTGAACGAGGGAAGGCGTTTCTGGTAAATTTTCCTGGCTTTTGAGGAGGGACTTTCTTGGATGAAAAAAAATGGCCACGCGCCGCGAACAGCCGGCTATAGGAAGAAGCGATATTTTTGTATGCACGTCTAATTCACGGGCTATTTCTTGTTTATCCATGCCAAAAGATCATACATGATCTGATTCATACACCGAGCTTGAGGCCGATCCAATGAACACCCGCCGAAGACGCTCTAGGGGCGAAGGCATACCATCGCAGGTCAGGCACAGGCAGCCGGTGAAGCCATGGCGGCTAGCTGCAATCTCGGGTCGGCAGCGAAGCACGAATTGGATTAATCCGGGCTGAGGCGGTGAGAGAACGAGCTGTCAACATGCCGTGACAGGGTTTTCGGAAGTGGTGTGATTGTATGCAGCAAACTGCTCGTTTATGAAAGTGACATAGAGATGGCCGGCCGCGTTTCAAAATACCACAGGACATCAAAAAGCGGTGCATGGAACGACAAAAAGGAATCGTTCTCCGAACCCAGAATCGAACTAGGGACCTTTCAATAATCTTGGTAGAAACCATTACAGTCGAACGTGATGAACCAACTACACCATTCGGAGAGAACGTGACTAGGCCACGTGAATGATTGGCTGACTGCTCGTCTCGGCGGAGGACAAGTCGGTTATATCGCGCAAGGACTGCGGGGATTTGGCGGAGTTTGGTCTTTCAGTTAGAATGATCATATCCCGTAAAGACTGCAGGAAACTGGCGGAGTTATCGATACCTCGGACGCCGTGCGAGCTGGGCTTGGGGCGGGTGCGGAGAAGGCGGGAGCCTGAGTGTTCCGGGCCCGGGCCGCGGGACACGGCTAGCAGAAAGCTTCCGCAATGCAATTCGGGAATATACTGCGGCAATTGGATTCATTCACATTATCTACTCGCTTTTGCCGGTGGTAGTTTTTATTCGATCAGAAAAGCTGAAATCACTCGTTGCGTTGAATTAGCTTTCATGACGGGCGATAGCCTTCTTATAACCAGTTGAATGCAAGCCTGGCTTTCTCGTGTTCTAGACCTTGAAGCCGTTTACTTGAATCCTTACACTTCAGTATTAATTCACCAGTTGGCGAGCACGCATTGGTCTCTATCTATGGCTTCAGGTGACTAGGCCGACTTGGCTGCCGTCTCAGTGTTTTTCCGGGGACCCATCCGGGAGTACGACTCGAACTGAAGCTTATCGGCCGCTTCCTGAATACCCTTCACAGTCTCCAAAATGGACTCTTCCAAGGAGGCCCAGCCCGGACGTCCCAGCTCTCGCAAGTACTGCTCGGCTTTGTCGCGTGCCTCGACGGGATGCTGGCTAGGCTCGTTAGAGAAGTTATCAGGGAACTTCTTCCCAGGCTCGTTCTTGCGGAAGATCTTCAGGATCAAGTCCCAGCTGAAAGTGTGGGCGAGACCGAAGATGCGCTGATCTTTCACATGCTCGAGAATGGCTCCAGCAACATGCAATCTGCCCGTGTCGTCGTTGTCGATGAAGTATTCTATGAAAGACTAATTAGTCACGCCCTGATCGCTCAGGTAGCATAAAACTTGCGCTTAGATATGACGCGGTGAACACCCGCAATCTTCCCGTTGTAGAGTATGACCGGAAGTCCAGAGCTGCTGGGAAATCCTTGGTTGACCGGGTCGATGGAGCCGCCAAAATTGAAGTTGGGGAGTACTGTTTGATTTTTTAGTCCAAGTCAGTCTTTATATCGAAGACGTTTTTTTACCAGTGTTGACAACGAGGTCAGGGCGCTCGCTGTGGTGCTCCTTGTGGTACTTCCACACTTCCTGCTCTGCCTGCGTCTTGCTCGCCGCATAGACGGCGCCAGATCTTTCCGGGCTGTAAGGAGGATCGGCCCACGCGATGTTGACTGCGTTCTCGTTCCAGTTATCTTCGGTAATCACCGAGTCTGGTGAGTCGTCTTTCGGACCAGCGGCAGCTGACGATGAAGTGAACACAAACCGCTTCACGCTCGGCTGCGCGTAAGCCGACTTCAATGCACTCAGGGCGCCCTTGATGGCGACGGGAATGACATTGTTGGGGTTGGGGTCTAGCGTCATGATGGAAGCTGTGTGCACAACTACGGCGACGCCTGGGATTGAATGTCAGCCCCGTAACTTGTCTGCTGACGTCTTCCGGGTTACTCTCGGCATACCTTTCGTGGCTTCATCGAAAGCGCCTTCCGCTGCCATATCCGAGACTTGAGCAAGCTCGAAATGGCCTTGGCCAAATTGCTTTTCAAATGCCGCCGGAAGCCATGCAACCTTGTCCGGGTTACGAACTGTGCCGCGAACCTTGTATCCATATTCGAGGAACTGTTTCGCAACGTGGGAGCCCAAGAGGCCGTTGACTCCAGTCACAAGAACTGTCGAGCCTTTGGGAATCGCAAGGTTTGCCATAATTGGTGGGAGTGCAACGGTGAATTCAAGGTGCAATTCTCAAGATGTAAGTAAGTTTTGGAGGGTGTATGTATGTGAGTATCGTGGTTTTAACAGGTGGCTCTAAGGGATTGTGCCATCTCACAATGCTTGACTCCATCCGATTACAAATCCTGGGGTCATACCTGCAGGCAGTTACTGCAACTTCCGCTGCGGACATTCCACTTGGCGGGCGGACTTCTACATCTAGGATGGATCCACCATAAAGGATCCATCATCCAACAGGACGGGTAAACTTGCAGGGGATGAGTTAGCGCCAATGTTGAAGAATGGCGTCAATATGCACTTCCAATCATATTCCTGCACACATCAAAGTCAACCGCTTTTCCAACAAACCTCGCTGCCATCCAAGGGAAGTTACTTGGAACGGTGAGTTATCGGGTGGCCCATCAATGGCAAGTTGATCCAGGTGCATTATCAGGCTTGCGACAGAAGGGCATATTGGTTCTTTCAAGTTCACATTGCAAATTGATGCAGAGTACACATGATACATTTCAATTTACCAGTCTGATAGAAATCTCCCTAGGGAAATTTGTTGGCTGTAAGATTTCCAACTAGAGACCCTACCAAACAACCATCGCAAGAAATGAGGCCAGTCATGAAACCAAAGGCGTCTTTACCCATCTTGCTTTTAACATAGTAGCCATGCTATATCAATGAGCCACTCCGTCTCGTATTGAAATCATTCAGGTTGTTTCCCTCAAAATATTGTCCAAGTTGTCGCGGGTTGAACCAGGGGGTTCAGGCTGACATTAGATCACTCGGAGGCCTGAGTGTGCTTGTCGAGAACATCGCCAGCTACGTGACGACAATTGAGCGTCACATTTCAGAAGAAAAAGCAAGTTGGCGTTTAACTGGCCGGTATTTGATGCATTCAGTATACATCTGTTTCATCTTTACAGGTATTCTCAGGCTAGGTCTGTGATTGCTGGGAAGAGTTGTCCTGGCCAAGAAGCAATCTTCTCTCTTCCTCGTCGTGACTTTCAAGGTATTCCTCCGGCAGGTCTGCGTGGCCCGCCCGGGAAAGCGCCAAGGACGCGAGACCACACATGGCGAAAGACATGACATAAGGATGACATAAGGCATACCTTTCCAGATTCCATCAAGTCTCATTCTCCAGCTGAAGGTCCTAGCAACAATGGGGCCAGCGAGTAAGGAGCCCAAGGTGTCCATCATGGAGAGCGTCGTGAACAAGGTCCTGATCATGTCTTTCTCAACCAATGAACTGAGAAGCGATCTAGCAAATGGACTAAAACCGTTTCCAAGGGTATAGAACGCCAAGCCTAGAAATGCGCTTCAGTAAACTCCCTCTAGTCTCCAGTGTCGTGTAGAGTGCTTACCGACGACAACCACAGGTATGCTTGGCGCAAGAACCAGGACTGCAAAGCATATCATGATAAACACAATACTGAGCCTGGAAAAAAGGAAGTCTTTGACTCGAGCGGAGAAGCCTAGTTTCTTGGAAATGAAAAGATCCAGCACAGGCAGAATGGCGACGAAGGTTACAAGCTGCGCGAAAGCCCGGAATGAGAGTAGAAGGTTGGCCTGGAAATTGTCAGTAGGAACATCACGGTAATCCCGCGAGATAGATACCTTGGCTATTGGAATAGCGTATCTCGTTGATAGGTATTGCAGAAGGACACTGAGAGATTGTCGAGAGAAGTCGACGGCTAGAAATGTCAAAACAAGAAACAGGACACTACGATGGCGAAGGATGAATCCTAGAGTCTTGTGAACATGTCTGAGCAGGTTTTTCAATGTTCTTCGAAGACTCAAGTCTTCTGAAACAGCGCTCCCTATAAAGCAATCAAACTTGCTAAGTTTAATTAATTAATTAATTAATTTTGAAGCTATCGTTAGTTAATGAAGTTAATTATAACCCTTAAACTTAATTAATTACTTTAACTCTTTTAATAGGGATTATAATATAGATTAAATAAGTATTCTACTCCTAAATATCTCTACCTTTCTTTATCTACCTTCTACTACCTTCTACTTTTAATAGACCTCCCCTTAGTAAGATATAAATTACCCCTTTTTACTTATTTAGCTTCTCTTTTTTTCTCTTTAATATAATAATTAATATAATTATTTTAGTAAATATTTATAATATTCTCTAAGCTCTACAAGAGTAATAACTAAATCTCTTAAGGAAGTTAAAAGCTAGCTTTTGAGATCTTTTAGAGATTTATATTAAAATTATTATTTTACTGCTATTATCTTCTATCTTTATTATCTATTAATATCCTTTGAATATAAAGGTATTATTAAGTTTATTTTTTCTTCTTTTTTACTTATTTTATACTAGATATCTATTATATTAATAGTTCTCTATTTAACTTCTACTTGTTTTCTAAATATTTTTAGTTAACTTTTAAAACATAGATCTATTATATTATAGTTTAAATAAAACTAAAACTACTTCTTATTTAACTACTTTTTATTTAAAAACTTCTTTAAAGTTATAATAAATAATAAAATATATATATAAGAGTTAGATCTTTAGAGAAAAAGTATAAAAGAGAGAATAAACTAAATAAAAAACTATAGATAATATTTTATTTTCTACTAGCTAGATAGCTAACTAGAGGTAAGTTATTAAGTTTACTATTACTATAATCTTAAAAATAAATATATTATTCTTAATATTAAAACTATTTTATTTATTTCTAAATATTGTAAAAAGAACTATTTTAGAGAGATATAGATAAGATCTATTAGTTTAAAAAGCTTTAAGTAATTTAAAGATATTCTATATAAGAGATACTACCTTAATTTTATTAGTTTAATAAAAAGTTATATAACGTGGTTCATCATTAAGCAGGACACCATCATCAACCAGGACACTTTTTCCACTCCCTTCGCTATCTAGCTTCAACGCATATTTTCTTCCACAAAATAATGCCTAACGCCTCACAAGAAAGCAGAATTATTCTAGCAATTGAGGCGATTCAATTAAATCCACAATTAAGTATCCAACACGCAGCAACCCTTTACGATATCCTAAAAGCTACCCTACACGCCAGAATGAACAGTCGAACTTCAAAAGCTGATAGCAGGAACGCGCGCCTGAATTTGATGAATACTGAAGAGGAAGCGATTGTTTAATATATTATCGAACTGGACTCCTGAGGATTCTC